ATACGTATCTTAATCATTACATTATACTGATACTAATATAATTGAAGCACATCCTATATTGAACAAAAAGTTCAAATTAATTTTATTATTTGACATAATCAGTCAGACCATTCTGGATCAACAATGATGTCAAAAATTATTAAAAATTTGAATGGACATTCAATAGAGAACCATAAGATTTTTCAATCTAATAAATCCACATATAATTCTTGTTTTTTGTATATTTATGAAAAAAAAGAAATAAGAAAAATGAAGTCGTTACATATAATGCATACATTTGAACATAATGAATTTTGCAAAGATTTGCATAAATAGATTAACTATATCATGCGGTGAATACGATCACTAGTCTATATCTTGTTATTTTGACAATAAATGAAATTTGATGTGTATAGTTTATTTGATTATATCTAACTTATCGACATGAATATTAATACTATCACTAAAGAATTTAATATGTCCTAAGCACATAATTTAAGTTATATTATCATAAGGGAATTAAATACACGTTGAATTCCTTTTTCTTGGCCAATATTTTATTCCATTTTATTTTCTTGTCAAGGTTTTCAATGAGATAACTTTGTAATTTTGATAAAAGAATACTATATTATTTTTCCTTTATTAAGATTTTTTTTTTTAACAAAATTTTTCCTAGTAATGTTTCAATGGACAATTCTTTGTGTAATGAATGTCCATAACCTACAAAATTTTTACCTTCGAACCAATATTGTAATGTGTTGTAAATTGTATACAAGACTTTTGAAGAGAACAACAAGAAGATCCATTTGTTACCATTTTATAAAGATGACACTGCTTGAAAACTATAAAAAGACAATATGAAGCATATTTTATCGGAATTGTCGTATTGAAGGCATTGTCGTACAAGACATGGATGACTCAATATAGGAATTTCATTAATTGAAATCAGGGGACTAATTGTACTCTTTATCCTCCATTGAAGTTGTCCCATTAAATTTTCTTGACAAGATTTTAATGAGTAAGCATTTTACTACTCAAATGTTTTTATAATTAATTATACTCTTTTTTCCTTCATTTGATATTTTATTCTACTTAAATTTTGTCGAACTAAGTTTTTAATGAGTTAGTCATTGAACAAATGACTATGTAGTTCTATGGGTAAATCTTACTTACTCTAAAAGAGTGTACTCTATTCATATTATAACTTTAATATAATCCTTATATATATGAGTTGTTACAATGAAACATACAATAGAATTTTGACTATTTATACTTTTCTCTCTTATTCACTTTTCTTATTCTTATCTTTCTTTATAGTTTTATAAAATTTGTCCAAATGCTTAAATTATGTCAATTTGTTAAAAAAGTTTGAGAAAAAAGTTGTCTTTAAAACTACTAAATTATACCCATATTATTTGCATGATTTGAATCCGTCTAGGTGTTTTCGTCACATAAATTGTTGTTCTAGTCCATTTAGATTCACGTTCTTTTTACATGAATTTCTACCATTTCAATGGTGGTGAAGAAAAACTACCAACTTGTTGAATTGAATCAAAATCTCGATTTTGAAGCTGTTGTTTTGAGTTCAAATGGTTTAAGTTTTGATAATTGAAAATCGCATAAAACCAAATAGAAACACTTACCCAATTTTTTTAAATAATTACTTATTTAATTATTTTACTCATTGTACATTATTTTTTTTTATTAGGTTAGTTTATCATTCAACAAATTTACTTTCTAGTCGGCTTTTATTGCCTTTCAAGGAAGAAAATAATTTATCTATGATAATGTTTTACCTATCTAGAAAATGAAATTGCAAGCTTAAACCTTATATTAATTTATTTGTTTAAGCTCATACCAAAACAAATGTTTATGTTTAGAAGATTTCAATTTAAGTGTTATGATGAAATTTGCAATCAATATGTTAGTTTGTTTCTCACTTGTTTGAAAGATGCTTTTATAGGTAGAGTTGTGGTTTGATACCAAATCAAACTGCAAAAATGATTTGATTTGGTTTGAAAAATTAAATTATTTGATTTGATTTGAAATTTTCTCAAATCACTTGTAATGATTTGACTTGAAAATAATTCAAAAAGCCGTTCAAATAGAATCATATCCACTCTCATATTTAAGACATTCTTATCAAATTAAAGAAAGTAACAAGAGCTTTCAGTTCCTTTGAACACTGGTCATTATCTTCAACTTATCTTCAATGTTTGATAGATTACATAAAAAAATATTTTTTGTTTGTAATAAAATTTTGCAACAAACGAATTTCATTTTGATCCACAAAAAAGAGTTAATTGTTTATTTTTCGAGGTTCTCACGGTCGTAACAACACATAAGAACTCTTGAATGAAAATAGAAAGAAATGTGACTCCAGTCCCTTCTGAATCTTTTACTAATGATCCCTTAAAGTTTAAGCAATATTTCAAATTGATAAGTAATTATTCACTATAACTTGTTTCATAATTGGTCACTTTATTAGTTTAATTATGTTTAAACTAGAGAGAAAATGAGAATAGTATAGGGAAGCAAATATAATTGTATTTTATTAAGAAACAAAGTCCCATATTTATAGGGAAAAATTAGGGATACATTGGTAATAAAAATAAAGGTTACATGGATATAATTGCCCTTCACTAATAATCATATTATTTACAACGCTCCCCATTAAATGACATAATATAAAATATCTGTTTCCTTTGATAACTATAGTACCATGATGATTCGAAAAATAACTCTTGTTAATCTCTTTGAAAGTCTTATATATTGAAGTATTATTTTGAGTGTAAATATCTTGTAGGTTATAGGCATTCATTACATGAAGAATATGTCTTGTTAAAATCTTTATTAGGAAATTTTTGTGAAAAAATTCTAATGAAGAAAAAAGAGTACATTATTTTTTTTAAATACGCTATAAAAATTGTCTTGTTGAAAATCTTCCCAAAAAAACTCAATGGGACAAAACATTAATCAAGAAAAAAAAAGTACAACGTGTATTTATTCTCACTCATGATAATATCAATTGAATTATATGTTTCAGGTATAAAATTCTTCAAGGATAATAATAAATCTATATAAGGTAAGTTGGCTATAATCATATTTATTATATGTATATCAAAGTTTATGTATTATCAGAGTAATAAAATAGAAATTTGTGATTCCATCCACCACATGGTAATGAAATTCATTATGTAAAGAGTCATACATTTCATATTATTACTTCACTTTTTTCATTTTTATTTCACATAATAATACACATTTAGGTGTTCAGATTATAGATAATTTTGGTAGGATTACGTTCTTTTATTCAATCAATTATTTCTTCTATTCATATAATTTAATAAATTTATTTCAATATCCTCGCTATTCATAAATAAAATTGTACATTATATACAAAAAAATATGTCGATAACTATTTTCTTTTCGATTTTATTTCTTTTACATAAAAACATAACTTCCTTTGAATTAAAATTCAATTAAGTAGCCCTTCTTATTCTGATGGCCTGGCCTGGTCAGTACCTAGACGAGAACTCTCTCAAAATGGAATCTATTCCAAATGTACATGCCAAAAATACACCACACCTAAATGAATTTTGGAAGTTATAGGAACTTCCAACTATATCAGGAAAATGATCCCTTCTATTATTATATATAAATATTTTAATTTTGAATATATCAGATATCTAAACATCTCCTAGAATTGTATGAGTTGTTATGTCTAATTACTCATCACGAATATAGCTCTTCTTAATGGGACAATCTTTACTAATTGCTTTATTTTCGTTTTGAGATTTTTGTATTAGAATCGAATATCATCATACTTCAAGTGTGTCATAAATTTATCAAACATAGTATTTACTAATTGTCCTCCAAGACGTTAATTCGACTTGGAGCATTTGAAATTGGTGTATGAGGTATTATTGATCTTTTTTGTTAGTAAATGCATCTAACTGAATTGTATTTCAAATTTCTGGCTCAAATTATCTTTTACAAAGATTTAGATAATATAATGATGCATTCGTATATTATTTTCAACTTCTTAATTCCCTCCCCTTATGCAGAGAAAAAAGTCCAATTTTCTATGCACCGGCATGAAATTTCGGTGCTGATACATGTTGTGATATTAGGTTGTATTTCATATCGAATTTTTCTGATTGTCTTCGAGCTAAGTTCATTTTTCAGTTATGCAGCATCATGGACCAACAAGAACAAGGACATAAACGAAAGGGAAAGTGGTTCCACAATTAACCAGCTTCCATCAGCCCGAGACTGTTTGGTAGACTTTCTGGTCAGGAAACCACCGGTCGGTTTGGAGAAAACTCAAGCATTCTGGGTAGCATTAACTCTATGGATTGGATTGGTTGGAGCTGCACTCTTTTTACAAAGTTGAAGTTTACATTTTTGTGCAGTTGTGATGTTTATCTTGCATTCTTTCATGGTATTACTAGTTGTTGTATAATTTATTTTGGTATCTTTGTAATTGTTACGGTACCATATGATCAATTCGGGCATAAATCTATTTGTACAATATTGTTGTCGAAAAATTGTTAGTGAGAAAGGTAAATTATTTTTAAAACTATCCAATGATAACATCTCACGTGTCATATCGTTAAAAATGTTGTCAAAATTATTGAACACCAAGCATGATTGTCAATTCAAATACTATATGAAATGTGATTATTTTTGAAATTATATTCGATTCAGATTGAGAAAAACAAAATATTTGTTGTCTAGAAAGAGACTTATTACTTGAATATTAATAAGAGGACTTTGTATTATGGTTTGTTTAAGTTTAAGCCGAACATTAGAGTTTGATTATTCCTCAAAAATTTCAAAAACAAAAAATTACATAATATAAAGAAATCAATTTTAATTAGTGCTATTTTGGTAAATCTGTTAACCCTAAAGGAACAAGTCTATTCTGCAAACTTCCACAGATACCCTCGAACATCGCAAAAACATGAGGACATATTTGTAATTTCGTATTCCGCCTTAACCCTATAAGATATAGCATTGAAGCCTCATTTCTGCATCTCAGCCGCCTCAATGACGACCCGTTTCAGGAAGAACAGGAAGAAGCGCGGGCACGTCAGCGCCGGCCACGGCCGAATCGGAAAGCACCGGAAGCACCCCAGTGGCCGTGGAAATGCCGGAGGTATGCACCACCACCGTATCCTCTTCGACAAGTACCATCCGGGTTATTTCGGTAAAGTCGGGATGCGCTACTTTCACAAGCTCCGCAACAAGTTCCATTGCCCAATTGTCAACATCGACAAGCTCTGGTCCATGGTACCCAAGGAAGCCAAAGATGCTGCATCAAAGGAAAAAGTGCCCGTGATTGATGTTACGCAGTTCGGGCACTTCAAGGTTTTGGGCAAGGGAGTTCTGCCAGAAAATCAACCGGTGGTTGTTAAGGCTAAGCTCGTGTCTAAAATTGCTGAGAAGAAAATTAAGGAGGCCGGTGGGGCTGTTTTACTCACTGCTTAGGTTTGTGGTATTTCCTTTTTTTTATTATATATTTTGAGTTGCTTCAGAATTTTGGATCTGGATTTTATAATGGATATTGTTGCATTTTGGAGTTCAATTGGTAATGATTATTGGAGTTGCTTTGATATTGCTATCTTCTATCAGGCTTTTTTCAGCAGATTATTTTTGTTGAAGATATTATCTATATGGCTAATTTCAGTGCTGAATATGTCAATATACACCATGAAAAATGTTGATGCTAATAATTTAATTTCGTTGTCAAACCCAATTTTTGAAGGATGGTAGTAGTGGATGCAATGATCCTTAAATGAAACATTCAGGGTTCTCTACAGAATGTACTTTCTTTCACAGTGTGATTTGGTGTCGCAATCCTTTTGCCAAAAGGTTCCGTTTGATTGCACGAATAGAATTTGGGTGGAAAGAAAACGAATTTCTCGGAATTGAATTGCTTAGAACTTGTTTTATTAGGAATTGTCAAATAAATGTGATTGATTGGTATCACTTGAAAAATGTTGAAATTTTAGATCTTTTGGTGTTCATTTGACTTTGTTTTTCATGAAAATTGTCAATTAAATTGATAAATTTTTTTACAATTGTCCTTATAATTTGTTTCAAAAAAAAAAAAAGAAAAAAGAAAAGATTATACATATATGTATGTATGTATGTATGTATAGGAAAAGCCAATTCCCAACAAAAACCATGGGAATTGGTTTTCCACTCCATGGAAAACTTTTCCAATCAAACAACAAAAAGATGGAGAAATGGAAAATATTCCCTATCAAACGGGGCCTTATTGTTGTTGAAAAAACTCATCTTTCCCACAAATTAGCTCCAAGAATGTGTTCTGCTTCCATGCTCTTTCGACCAGGAATGGAACTATTTCTGGTGAATGGCTGTGGATGTTTGAATTGTCATTTTCGACACTTCAACTTCTCTATGCAGAATTCGCATTCTGATGCATATAGAGAGAAGCACTGTTTTTCTTTGATGCAGATGTTGGATCTCTAGAAAGCAGGTGGACTTCTATCACAATTCACCTCTATATGATGAATACTAATTTTTCTGCCTAATCTGTAAATCTGTTGCACCAAGCTTCGGGATTGAATGAAGATAACACTATTGTTTTCCTTTTTGATCAGTAGATAATCTTTGCAATTGTTTCCCTTTTTTGGAGAGCAGCCTCATGTAGCTTGTCCGGCCAATATCACCTTTGACCTCTTTTTTGCTCGGACAACCTCTGCCCTCTACCTCATTTTAAATTAGGATTTTAAATTTATTCCTGAATTGCTTACCCTTAAAATACAAAAGTACGAACCCAATATAAAACTTGCGAACCTAGGATCTTTATTGCTACCACGATTATGTTCTTTCTGCTATAATTTTCACATCAGTTCTGGTGCACAAGACTGCGTTTCTGGCTGACGTGACTTGCGTAACACCTGTTTCTTAGTGTCGAGGTCTTCATTTACTGTGGATAGATGTTATTTCTGCTAGTGTAATAGGTCGGACGAGTTCATCAGATAGATTTCTATTTTTCTACCCCATATGGGGTTTAGTAATTGCGTGTTTTTTTTTTTTGTTTTGTTTTGTTGGTTTGATGATCGCAACGAATGACCTTAACTATGAGCAATAATAGCAGTCACAGGAATCCTTGGAGGGTACCAAAAAGGGCTTGCTCTAATTTGAAATTTCAAGAACCAAATTTAACTTTTTAGAAAGATTAGGGACTAATGTGCAAGATTCTAAAATATCAAGGACTACCTCGTGCAAATTTGGAACGCTTGGGCTAACTTGTACAAATGAAAAAGTTCAAGAACTAACTAGCAATTGAATGAAAGTTTTGCCAAAGTAGAAGGCTAACAAGAACCACAATACACAGTGGTAAAAGGGGAGGGTGGAGAAATCTAGCTTTGATTGAGGCTACTGCGTCAAGGGTTCGAATTCTGAAATATGGATTTGGCTCTTGGGTAAGTGCAAGTGTACAAGCAGCCTTCCACCCTATACCCTTGGAAGCATAACCTGCGATTTAGTAGAAGGCTAACAAGAACCACAATACACAGTGGTAAAAGGGGAGGGTGGAGAAATCTAGCTTTGATTGAGGCTACTGCGTCAAGGGTTCGAATCCTGAAATATGGATTTGGCTCTTGGGTAAGTGCAAGTGTACAAGCAGCCTCTACTCTGTACCCTTGGAGGCATAACCTGCGATTTACCTCCCTCACGATGCTCCAGGGCAGGGGTAGTGGGGGACCTTTAAGGTTGGGGTTTAACCTTTTAAGAACCACAATACACAGAATAACACTCGTTTCAAAATTAAGCACAAAGGTTTCAAATTTCAAAAATTAGATATTTATTAAAATTTATTTATGATTTAATTAATTAATTAATTAAATATATTAAGGTCACATATTTATAAAAGTTGGTCACAAATTAATTATTTTGTTCATCACATATTATTTTTTGATTACAAATAAATTTTTTTACATGTTTTAAATTATTTTACGGTTACAAATAAAAAATTTTATAGGTTACTATCACAATTTATTCATTCATCACAAATCTAAAACATTTATAAATCACAATTTAATTATCGATTACAAATCACAAATATTATAAGTCACAAATTATTGTACAATTACAAATTATCCAATTATCGATCATAAATTAACAATTTTTTTAGATCACAAATTACTTTATTATCACAATTTATATTTTTCATTGATCATATATTGTTTATTGATCACATATTAACCAATTTCATTGTTACACAACCAACTAATTTGTGACCGTCATCAACACTTGTAATCACAATCTCACCATTACCTTCAACAGTACAACATCACCACCGTCGTCACCAAAATTATAACCACTACCACCACCTCAAACAAATCAACACATCGCAAAAAACACCACCACCTCATCGCGTCATATCCACCACCACCCTGATAGATCTACTGTAACCACTACCACGAGCACCACCGCCTCCACTACTACAAAAAACTATCACAGCCACCACCACCCAAATCACTGTATAACCACCGCAACCATGATGACTTCAACGACTTCGACAACGCAGATCCGCCACAACCACGCAACCACCACTTCCACTAAAAAAAATCCCCAAACCGTCGCTGCCACCACAACTTCCACGATCACCACCCGCAAACACTATCCACAAAAATCATCCCAAATCACTGCACAAACATCGCAACCACAATGACTTCGATGATTCATACAATGCAGATCCGCCACCACCACACTGCAATAACCATCTCCCCAAAAAATTCCTAAACTGTCGTCTCCACCACAACCTCCATGACCACCACCTGCGAACACCATCCACAAAACCCATCCCAAATCACTGCACAACACTGTAGTCGCGACGATTTCGACGATTCTGAAAAAGCTGCCATTGTGTGTCATGCGCGAGGCATCGCATTACGAGCATAGTGTTGTGCGCAGTTGTTGCAGCAACGTCGCATACGACAGCACTATCATCGCCTCAATGTGCGAAGTTGCTGTCGTGGCTTCCAATGGTGCTGCTACTGTATGTCATCGCCTGCTATGCACTGATGGTAGGTTTCTCAACAGTGGTAGGAAAGAGATGACAGAGAGGATAGATAAAGAGGAGAAATGAAAAATGATTTAGGGTCAAGGTTTGGGTCTGGTAATATAGACTAAATCATTTTTATAAAATTATTATTAATATTTAAAAATTATATTATTATCTGATTTTTGTATAAATAAACCTATCACATAATTTATGAAATATGATCTTTAAAAGTAAGCTTCTATGTAATTTTCACGTCCACAAATAACATGACATAGCCCAAGTAACCAATATAGACCCTATTTGTTTCCTATTTTTTCCCCATTAATATGAAAAATATGATCGATATCCATCACATCAAATTATCAAATTTGAATTTTTATTTTTTGTGTGAAATCCATAACGACTATATATATATATATATATATATTTTAATCAAAAATGTGAAACAAACGCTCCATAATTTCCACCCAAATCATAGAAGCTGCCCCCACAGCCCATGATTTGCAGCACTTACGTCAGGCAGAAATAACAATTTAGGCAGAATTTGTTCAATAACAAATTTCTGAAAATAACACTCTACGCCTTGTCGTACTACACGAGTATGAGGACCCAAATAAATTTGACGGCCCAAATGGTAGATAACCATATGTAGGCTAACCACTATGGGTTCGAGTCACAAGATCCGTATGTTAACGAACAGATTGTTGGTGATTATGATGTTGGCACCCCTTGTTTGTTTGGAAGAAAATCCTTTTACTTTTCCGTCATATTTTCTTAGCCTCTCGGTTTGTCAGTGTTCTTGATATTAGGCCACTTGCTGGCTCCATCTTTAAGTGGATTCCGGGTTATTCCATGGATTTTTGAGTGCAACTTTTTCTACTTGAGGAATGTGTCCTTCAAGTCTTGGTGATGGTCATAGTGGATAATAATTTTCTTTCTCAACTACTTCTGGTTATTAGTTGGCTTAGTTGGTCTGCAATGCTATGCAAAAATGAGAATGGACAATATATATGAAATAAGAACAAGAACACAATATTTATGTGGAAACACAAGATCGGAAAAAAAAAAAAAAAAGAAATTCACGGATGGAAGAGAAAATTCAATATATCAAATATGAGTACAAAAGATATGGCTACCACCACAAACCCCCATTGTTTTTTCTTATCATAATTTTAGTTTCACCATATATGTTGCATCACAAGCTTTTCAGATTGAGCCAAAAAGAATTCGGATAACCATAATCTAACAAATGTAAATGCAATTTTAAAGCACCATTTAAATCTTGAGGATTATGATTAGTTCAGATCAATTTAATTTTCAAACTTAATTTGATATCTACAACACCATATTGAGTTTCAGGGGAGTGTTAGAAAGTCTATCAAATCTATTGGGATAAATATTGCTGGATTTTAGGAAGTTAGTTGCAAATGGGTGAGTATCTTGGGTAATATTTTAAGAGAGAATTTTTTCTTTATCCATTTCTTTGTGTAATCTATAAATTAAATAGATCATAAAACATGCTTAAGATTTCAATGAAAATGAAATAAGGATGCATTTGGTCATGAGCATGAAATTTGCATAAAAAAAATAAATAAATTATAGGCAATTCAATTGTCTAGAGTTTATCTGTATGAAAATTATGAATTAAATGTGTTTGATTGATTTAGTTTTTAATTTAAAAAATATTATATTATTCCATTTTTTATTGGTTGGTATATAAAAGAGGATTGATGAGAGAGAGAGAGAGAGGATTGCTTGAAAAATAAAATCTTAATCCCTTTAAAGAAAATGTTTTCCTTGATTTTGTGAAAGGCCGAGAAACATATTTTCCATCGGAAGGTTCAAAGTTCTCAAATTTTACTGTTTGGCTTAGAAGAGTCAAATTAATTACAATGCTTATTAAATACTTGAACTTCCAGTGTCCATCACTGTAAATCTTATGTCAAAAGCTGAGAAACATACTTTCCATGGGAAGGTTCAAAGTTTTCTCACACTTCTGCTTGAAGTTTTACTATTACTAGTTCCTTCATCATCTATTTCCACTCTCCATCCTTTTAATCTCTCTTTCGCCATAGAAGCCTGCAATGTGCATAACAAAGCACCTTTCTTTAGAAATCGATACTATACAATGATTACAAAGTGCTAGAACTCTGGCTCCTGCATGCAATTTGCTCTTTCACATGTGGGCGATTCTACTCGTATGATAATCACTATTTAGCACATACCTCTTTGTCCCAGTTTGCGACACATAACATACAGAGTAATACGCTGCATTGTAGGAATAAACCTAGCAACATTCCACACCAAAGCCCCTGAAGGATATCAAATCGAAAATGGAGATACAGGTTAATATGACTAATTTTTCCATTCTACACAAGAATTTGGTACAGGAGAACAGAACTCTTTATCATCAGATTTTAACAAACTAGGGCCTCGACTCTTAGAGGATATCAGATAATATGTTAAGCCGTGATTGGTTATGGTAACCCCAAAAGTACGCAAGTAACGAGTAGAACTAGTCACCTTGACGCCCATTTTGAACTTGAAGCCCATTAAAACTCCCAAAGGAATGCCTAGCAGGAAGTAGCATGCAACATTTATGCAGGCAACTGGAACTTGCCACCCTGCCCCAATAGCGGCTCCTACAATTACTAATAATTAATACAAAAGCTTTGCTGAAACCAAAAATAAAAAATAATAATAATAATAAAATGAAAAAAATGAAAGAATTCAAGTTCAGAACTGATATAAGCATTGAAAGAAGTCGAAAATTGATGAATACCAGTGAGAGTATATTGGAAATTTGTTAAGGTTATGCATATCCCTAGCAATGGCGTGAGCTCTTCTACAAGGTGGATAACTTCCGAACTGTTTGAAAATATTGTAGGGTACTGCTTCGAGGTGACCATTAGGACAAGAGCAATGAAGAAACCGAAAAGAAGAGAAGTGCTCCCAGCCACCACTGCTGAGAATTTTACCCTTCCCGGGTGCCCCGAACCGAGTTCATTTGACACCCTCACACTGCACACACATTTAAGTTGGGTGAGATTTAAAACTTTCTGTACTTTGGTAAATGTTACTTGTCCCAAATTGGCGTAATCTAACATAGGAAATATGAAGGTGATTTAGCATTGGTGATTAATGGCTCATTTTTGGAGCACGATATTCGACAATGTGTTAATTTTACACACCTTGTGGCTACATGGAATCCAAGACCTGCCATGGAGATCCAACCCAATATATTTGAACTGCAAAGTCAAAGCACAATGGAAGTCACATGAACAGTTTAGTTATAAACTTTTACGGTGACAGTAGAATGATCATCAAATAGGGTTGAAATGTTAAAGAACTATTCCTTCCTGTGGATAAAATCATTATTAGCTTAGTGTGTGAAAACATAAATAAGAAAATATCTTCAGTCCACTCATAGAAAAATAAAGAAATGGCTTAGAGAGTTTATAATATTGGTTAGATAATTTGTTGCATTGTAATTCAGAATCAAATTTGAGCCCCCTTTATGAGGTCGAGGGAATCTTACTTGGGAAATAGGCGATGGTAGACTGCAGTAGCAAGCAAATTATGCAATGTTATATTGAAATCCGACTATGAGGAAATTTTTCAAGTAGAGCCAAGTAGTGTGACAAAATGGAAAATCACCTTACTTTTAACTTTTTCCCCAAAAGTCTACTTTATTTAATAGAGTGTTCATAATATATATTCTGTAACTATCTTTTCTTCTTGCATTTTCAGCTTATTTTGAAAGGTTCTGTATTTATTTATATAAAGAAGAAGACGATGGAGAGAAGAACCAAACAAGTTCAGTTCACCAACCAATGATCAGCTGAAGGCATTATAATTGCTATTAGGTAAACATCCCATCCCTACTAATGACATGGTCGATTAGTTGTTTAGTGCATAAAATTAACTATTACTTGTGCTGAATTAGGAATCAGGATGTCTTGTATAAGTGTCTTGAATAGATTTTATTTTTTATTTTTCATTTTTAATGTTAATTTCCATATTATTTCTTCTTAAAGATTGCGTGACTGGTGGTATTGCGGATTTTAGCCATTTAAATTTAGAGAAACGAAGTAGACAAATAGAATGTTACTCACCATATGGACGACGTATCCACAGATACTTCTGCATTTTTTAAATTTCCAACGAACAGAGTCAAAACTGAAATATACCATATCTCAGAACTGCAAAATTGCAAAAATAAGTTACCTATTAGGATCTCATTTGTGGACTTTTGGATATGAAAGATCTCAAGAATCTTGATGATATGATAGTCATTGCATGTTAAATTAAATACAATTAAATGAGTTAGATGAAGAAAACAGTAATTTAATAGAATCAGAGTGGTGGGATAAAATGGAGAAGCATTGTAGGAATTGTGTGATGTGACATTATGTTGATAGACACACTAGTTCTAAATGTATAAAGGATAAGATGTCCACAAGATCGAAAGTAGCGGAAATGAAGATGCTGAGATGGGATGCCTAAAGATAAATTAAGATGTTATAATAAATGATTATGAGAATGAAAATATGTACTACCAAGTGGAAGTGAGGTCGATTGAAGATACATCAAGTGAATAACGATTCTAGAAGTAGAAACATGCTTTGCATCAGCCTTGAAAGATCTTTGCAAAAGTGACATGATTTTAGCAGTTTGGATGATGATAGATCAAAACTAACATAACATGTAGTTTATGTCTCATTAACAATGAACTATATGGATGGACCGGAATAATTCATGTAATTAACTCTTAATTTTATTGAAAATGACAAAAAAGATTCATGAAACTGACTTTGACTCAAATGAGGCTTAGTTTGTAAACAATAAATTTAATTTCTTACCAGATCATTACAGCTGAGGCAACAGAAACCTTTACAAACTTCCACAGATTTTCAAAGGTCTTCCACGAAAATCCAGACCAAGCTTCTCCACAGGTCCCGGAAATGATATACAAGAATTGACCAATAGCAATGACCCACCACGCCACATCCAGTGACACGGCTGCACCCCCCAGGCCCCACTGGAGTTCCAGCATAAACAACCAGCTTAAGAATAAATGTAAACCAAGTGCTGCTGCTGTTATTACAGCTATTGCCATGACCTTGCTTTGTGCCTGTAAAAATTTTGTCGTCGGAAATATCATCGCATAAGCAAACTGCTGGGGAATCATCCAGAGGGAGAATTTTCCGGCCGCAGCCGAAATAGCGTCTGTCTGGCCTAAACGCTTCAAGATTGGTGTGGCAAATACAAAGAGAGAAACCATTGCAATTGCCATGATATTGAGTATCAGCAATGATCTTTGCATGTGTATTCCAAGCATTTCTAATTGGTTTGCTCCAAATGCTTGCCCGCAAAACGTTTCTAGTGCACTTGACATGCCCAACTGCGTCAAAATCAGTTGCATAAATCAATCACCACCCTCCCTGCCTTACAACTCTAGATGATCATCTTATCACTGTCACATTATCCGATGAACTTTGAATGCATTTTTAGATATTGGATAACATGACAATGATTCCCACTATGTGATAAATGATTATCTAGACTCCAAATTGAATAACATTATTCATTAAAGTAAGCCTTCTTCTCTAGAAATTTAGAGTTAGCTCGCGTCAATCTATTGCAACCTTCTTAATTTAAGGAGAGATGTTTTTCAGCATCTTTTTCAGATTATTAAAAGTTCTGTAAGAAGATCAGATGCCCTAATGAGATGTGTATTCAAGTTGTGATAAAGTTCTGACTACCAAAACCTTCTTGCTTTACATAGAGTCAAGGCCAACTATGAAATTCCCGAGCAATTTCCATCCTTCATCAACTAGAAAAAGGATTTTGCTACTTATACATCAAAATGGTACATAAGCGGTTATTGAAAATGATGTGGAGGGGAAAGATTGAATGAAAAAATTGGTTGTATTTTAAACTGGCAAATGACAGGGCATCGTGTTACATTACGTAATCCATTATGTGAACTTGATTTACAAGCAGCAAGATTCCTAGAAAGATACATCAGTGGACGGTCTGAGGGGATTTGAATAGTTTAGAGTTTGAGGTGTCAAGGCACGAGTGGATGGTAAACCCAAATAAATAAATAAAAAAAAAAAAAATTGTTAAGGAAAGAGGGATAATTGCTCATAGTCACTCAAGTAATTTTCTTACATTAGATGTCCTTCAATAATGCCGAAAAATGAAAGTTAAGAAAAGGAGGACAATTGCAGTAACGGTCACTGAAGAAATTTTCTTAATTCAGTTCGAGGCAGTAATACCGAAAAATTAAAGTTATAATTGCAGTCACTAAAGTCATTTTCTTACGTATAGTCACCCAAATTTTCCCAATATATAGAATATAGAGGGTTAGAGAAAGCAATACTGAAAAATGAGAATTAAGTAAAAAGGGAAAGTATCAGTCACCCAAATTTTCCGTCACTCAAGTAATTTTCTTACCTCACTCAAGTTCCGAACCTTCACGCCAGATGACTATTTTACAAATAAATATCAGTGACCATTGCTGAAATAAACCCTAATTAGAAAAGATAAAACGAGTACCACCTCACATTTAGGATTAACAACTACCAATTCACCCCCACCGTCGCCGGAATCAGCAACGACACGTACAATAATGAAAGAAAAACTAAACATACATACCAATACGCCATAAGGAATGGCTGCAATGACAGAATTTTCCACAGAAACTGCAGCCAGTTGAATGGTTCCTATATGGCCGACCACCATCATAGTGGTGGCCATGAGGGCGTACTGGCAGAAGGAGGTGAAAATTGACGGACCAGCAACGTACCATAGCTTCTTTGATTCAGTGGAGAATTCTCTAACAAAATCCTTAACTCCATTAATTGGGCCAATCTCATCTTCTTCACCACAAAATGATTGAGATATATCTTCATCTTTCATGTCATTTTGAACATGCCTGATGGAAATGAGTGGTTCAACTACTCCTCCACCAGTCATGGTGAATCTGCTGTGAATTAAAATAATCTGCTTCGCATTTTTTATTTTATTTTTATAATATTGAGGTGTGTACTGTCTCTGTCACAATGGGCCAAGTTGTGTTGAACTCAATTGCGCAAAAGCAATAAAAATGGAGACTCGAGTTTCACAAGCACAAGGTGTGCTTGGATACGTTTATAAACTGTTTAAAGGTTAAATCCATAGATGATAATCCAACTTTATATTTAAGGTTATTATAATCATTTAATTTTATTTTATTTCATTATGGTCACCCAACTCCTTTTTACTATTTTCACTTTTTATTATATATAAAAATTAAATTTAAAAAAATAATAAAACAAAAACTAGTTAAAAAACATTTTAAAATAAAAAATTATTTTTGCTTTTTAAATTTTATTTTTATGTATAATGCAAAGTTAGTATTTACATATTCTTAAATTAGTAAAAACGGTGAAAAAATTGGATGGTCATGATGAAATGTTATATGAAATTAGGAGGTCATAGTAAAATAAAATCAAATTTGATGGCCATGTTGACACTAAATATAAAATTGAGTGGCCATAGCGAAATAAAATCAAATTAAGTGGTCATGATGACACTAAATATAAAGTTAGAGTGGTCATTGATGAATTTAATCCACTATTTAAATTATAAATAAATATGTGTTCCTAAAAGTTTAGAGTGAGCAAAAATTATCAAAATTATTGAACCAAATTAGATTGTTCAGTTTGATCTAATTTTACTTATGTTTTGATTGATTCTCGATATTAAACTTGAGTTTTTATAAATATAAATTTATCAATTGAAAGTTGAAATAGTGTTGTCACACCAATCACATGGAAGTTAAGATTTTATTTTATAAATACGATATGGCCTTCTCCCATTTGCTTAGCCTTCACCTTCTTCATTGAACGAGTTGAAGCGTTTGAACGAGCTCAATAAACAAATTAAATCGTAATTGTCGTAGAAAATTTTATTTTTTCTTTGCAAGGGTATTTTAGGTTTATCAACCTCATTTTAGATGATGTATGACTCAAAAGGAGTTAGAAGGTATAACATATACTCAAATATAAAGGCATAAAATGTTAGTGATATTTTTGAAACATGAGAGGTGTCCATAGGATTGTCAAAAGTGTGAGGTGTCTCTCTTTTATTATTTCTGAAGTTAAATATGCAATGATTACGTTAATAAGTGATTTTAGTTAAATGTACTTTTTATGACTCATAATACCAACCTATTATTTACATATTCTATAATATCCGCAGATTATAATGACTTACTAAACATTCACAAATAAATCTAAGATAAGATAATTTACTATAAATGGTTTAATTGAAAGATTTCTAAATACTGGTTTTGGTTGTGTTTATGAATCTTTTTAAGTACTCAAAGTATATTATTTGTGCAATTTTAAAGAGTCTATAAGAAGAAAAAAGTGTTGCTTGAAGTCATTAATAGTACTAAATAAAGAGTAGAAATGGCAACGAGACAGATCGAGGTCATTGCAGCCAATCCCGTCCTCCATCCTGTTGAATTTTTTCCCCATTGTCCCGTCCCTATTGACGCTTAAGGGGGCGAGGATATTATATTAGTATGTTTTGCATTTTAATTCCATATAATCAAATCAATATGAGATACTCTTGTAACTTGTTTGTGCTAATATAGTTCAAAACAACGTGCCACTTGTACATAAGAAGTTACAAATTTTTTTTACAAATATTTGAGATGTCAAGAAGAGAGGGAAGAAGTGTTTTTTTTTTTTTTAGGGCGTGTCTGGGAGTGCTTCTCGCCAAATTGTAATGAAAATTTTGCCCGTTATTTATAGCACGTACGTCCCATGTTGGCAGCAATTTTTAAAATTTTAAAAATGAAATATCGAAAATACCCATCTATCATTAAAAAAGAATTAAATGATAAGGGTAAAAATGTCATTTTGTCGAAAAATGGTCAAACATTTCAGCTGCATGTCTGACATATTAATTAAAGCATTGCAGCCCGGGTCCCACTTACCTCATCAAACGGTCAAAAAAGGCATTTCACGGATAGCAAAAATTGCTACCAGACACGTCCTTAATTTGGTTGAAGAAATTTTGATCCAACCATATTTCCTATATTATATGTATGTAAATTAAATTTATAAGTGGTGATATCCATGTAATATTACTATATAGTTTAATAGCCTACAAAATGTGCACATTTTGTTATTTTAGAACTGGGCAGGCAAGCTTAAGTTATATAAATGTCTAATTCTAGATTCATTATTCATTTGCCTCCACATTGCGACTCGTCTTTTACATTATGTCGTGCGCTTTTGTGTATTTTCTTCATTTATAACATAATCGAGTTTTTCCATTAGATTAAGAAGCCACCAACATCGACCCCACCATGTTAAAATCACCACAGATAAATAATCTAATTCTTCTTCTTGTTAAAGATCTCAATTTCTTGGAGGTTCGTCTTTTTAGCACATTTTTTCACATTCTTTTTCATTTTGATTCATAGACAAACTATAATATTAAGAATGTCAATTTGACTCGTCGACTCGACCCCATAAAAATATCGAGCTAGCTCAACTAGTGGCTCGGGTCGAGCCTCTTTTTTGGATGATGGCCCGACCTGAGGCTCGACCTGAGCTAACAAGTGTGGCTAGGCATAGGCCGACTGGCATGACCGGTCAAAATGTGGTCCTTGTCGTAGGTTCGAAAGTAGCTTGCTCTAAGAGTCAACTATTGGCAGGCATTTGCCTGTAGGCAAATGCAGCTGTTTCAGGCAAGCAATTGGTTGCTTGTCTTTTAAAAATTGAGTCAGTTCATCTCGGTTAAGGCTCAAGCCTAAAGTTCAAACCAAAGCTCCGAAACCTCAATTTTTCGATTGAGCTTTGACTTGACTCGGCTCGGGCTAGAAAAGCTTGAGCCTAGTCCTATCTAGTTACATCCCTATACAATTTTGAGCCACTTAATCCACAAAAATTCCGAAATTAGGATGGGCCTGGGCACATGGTTTAATTTTTGAATTTTAAATGGGATGGGTTGCAAGCGGGGACCATGGTCTTGGAACCCAACCCATGCCCACTTTTGGGAGATAGGCATTGCCACGTCCCCTATCCTGATAATTTGGGAAATTTTTGTCCCGAAAGGGATGGGACCCAACTTGTATTGAGTTTAATGGATTTTTTTTTTAATATCTAGGTATCACAACTTATACTAGGCTAAATCTTGAACTTCCAAGATCTTTGCCCCTAGAACCTTGGAGAGAGTAAATCGCGGGTTATGCCTCAACTGAATCACAAGTTCCCCCACCGTCTGTACACTTCTGCGCACAAGAAATCCTCCTCCAAAGTGATTGCTTCATACCAAATAAATCTGGCTGCAGGTTCCCACCAAAATTTGAACCTCCACCCAACCGCTAGAAGCAAGACAAATGTTAATTGATCCACCAATTGAGCTGTGCCCCGAGGAACATTTAATGGATTTTTTTTGTTATTCCTAATAAGGAGTGGAAGAAAAATTGTTATAAATTTCAATTACCTTTTAACTTTTATAAAAGGAAAAATTACAGTGACGTTCCAAACCTTTCAATTTGTTATAGACTACACCTAAACTTTTTAATTTTGCACCAACAGTCCCAAATCTTTCAATTCGACTGCAGCTGGAGGACATTGGACAAAATTCATTCATTAATCCATTAGTGAACCAAAAAAATTAGAACTTCGACTTTACTTGACATAAAATAGTGAATTTATATTTTATAATAAAATAATTAAAAAAACCAAAAAGCATAAAAATAAAGGAACTGTTCATCTTTCTCCAAACCCCCATCCCCACGCCCCAAAACCAAAAATCAGAAAAGCCAATCACTGTCAACCACCACTACCAATCCATATAACGTCGCACCGCTCACTGTTGCCACTATCGCAACCATTTATAGAAGGGACCAAGCTCCATGTACAGGAGCTCGGTTCACAAGTGGCTGCCAGGCCCTCACTGTAGGGGCTGGGCCCCATAAGCATTTTAGAAAAAGGGTGTGCCCGTCCCCACCTCCTCTCTCGCAGGCCCCTGTGCTCCCATCTTTTTCCTTATAGAAGTGAGGAGTGGTTTATCTCTCTATAAGCAACTCTCTATCTACTGAGAGTACTTTCTCTCTATAGATTTTTGTCTCTATCGATTTATATGTTGCTGAATTTGTTTCGGGAATCATCAGTGGCTCGGTAGACGATTTGTCAAGGAAAGAATTACAAGCCCCAAGTCATGTTTCTGTGTTCTCTATAATGAGTTCGTTTCAGATCCCAATTTTTGTCCATTCTTTTGGTTCCCTTCTCGCCATAATATTGAGAAATACAAACAAAACCCGGGACTCGGAGGAATAAGCACACGTAGGGAGGGGAGGAGAGAGAGAGAGAAAAAAAATTGAGAGTTTGTGTACGTCTTTAAGGATGGCAAAAAAATCAATTCAACCTAATACCCGCAACCCTATCCTGAATAGAATGGAGATTATCTCCAAATCAGGTAAGCGAGACGAGATCAATGTCTCGAAGCGAGTTCGGGACGAGTACGAAAACCATGGCCTCCATCTCACTTAGAGTTAATTTTAAATAAAGATTTTTTATCAAATAAAAAGAAAAAATTTACCATCATTTTTAAAGATAGCATGAGTTGTTTTTAAAAAAGTTGAAAGAAAGTAGTAATATTCACCAACTAAATATATAAAAATAAAAAAATAAAATAAATGGGGCAATAAACGAGTTCGAGGACCTGCCTCGCCATGAACCCTTGCATCCCGCTTTAATAGGGTATAGGATAAGACAATGTAACAAATATAGGACAAGACGGAAGACGAAAATGACCGATCTGCCTCCTACTCACCTTGTTGCCGTCCATAATGTTTTGTGTGTAATTGCTTCCATCTCTATGACTTGTCATCGTTTTTTTGCATCCATTGCTAGATGATGAAATGCCTCTATCACGATTTGATCTCTACATTTAGGGGTGTCAACGAGCCAAGTCGGCTCGAGCTCGACTCGAGCTTTTTTAAGATGGGTTTTTTTGGCCTTATCGAGCCTAAGGCAAGCTGTAAATGGCCTCGAGCCGGACCAACTTGGGCTT